TACCCCCTGAGCTCTTGGATCGCTGCCTCTTCAGTCATTGAAAGTTGATCCTGTGACAGTGCCCTGTCTTCCTTGGCATAAGATCAGTATCCTAATGTCATGGTGCCTCCATGTGGCAGCCTTCCGTGGCCTACGGGTTTCATTTTAGCATTGGTTTTGTTACTGTGACATAAAAACATATTTGGGGGGATGAGATCAACACAGAACATGTGTCAGATTGTTGTCCTGTTGAAGGTGGTCCACCTGGGTTGAGTGTAAAACCTAGGGAAACTTTTGCTTGATGACATTCTTTGATACTCACACAGTTCTGTAGGCTCCTGGCCTCCAGACAGCAATCTCATGCCAATTTCTCACCTTTTGTGATCAGTTTCCCCATGCTGCCTTCTCCAGAAGCGATATGTGACTGTTTTTGATAGTTTTCCCCGAAAGCCTTACCCTGTAGTTCTCCTTGCATAAAGGCTTGTCTTAGGTGAGAAAGTGAGATAGTTTTAGGGTTTCTTGATCCTCCCCAGAGTCAGCGATGTTTCAGGAATGACTCAATCAGGAACTTAACGCTGGGCAATCTCACTTTTCTTTAGTCCTCTCCATGGCCATTAATCTCAGAGTATATTTTGGGTCTACATGATTTGATAAATCAGCCCTGATTTCTCAGTCATTCATAGATCAGCATCTGCAAGTCAGTTGAGAAAGAGGACATACATTCAGACAATGTATTTCCTTAAGCATAACATACAGTTGGAACTTTTCACTTGCTTCTTGCTATGCTAATGAAGTCTTCTGTCATAACCTCAGAAAGTACAAGTGAGTTGCCCAAGAGTTGCAAGGTCCATAGGTGCTTGAATCACTTGCCTAGTGCCCTGGAGGCAGACTCTGGACCCAAATTTCTAAGGAACTGAATCATCCTCTAATTTGCACTGTGGGGGCCTCTTCGGAGAAGCAGGAGGTGAGTGAAAATGGAAACATGAAAACATTCTCAAGCCAGAATTATCATTGCGTTTCTTCTGCAATCACTTAGGGCAGTGACAACTCAAGAGGTTATGAAAGTGCTGCTTCCAAAAATTTTAGCTTCAAAACTTCCCTCTCCTTTTGATGCTATGGCACCTGTAGGATTTCAGATCTGACTCAGGAATCCTTGACAGGGAAAGGCATTTCAAAAGTCCATTTTCCAGCTGCTTCCTTTGGGTAAACAATAATTCACCATTGCTGACAACCCCATGGATGTATTTTTTAAATGCTCAACCTTATTCTTTACAGAGTCAAAATCTCAAGTGATTATGATGTTAGGAGGCTATGTCCTTAGAATCTTCCTTGGATGGTCCTACAATTCTTTCTGTATCATCTCTGAGTGACGATTGAAAGTATGTTTCACGTGGCCTCTAAAGAAAATCATTTCAGAGTTAACTGTTTTATTGGTGTATTACAGCAATGCAGATTTGAAGTGTTTTCCCCTTGGTGTTGAATGCTTGTGCTCCTTCCTCACTTTTCATACTTGTCTTAACACAAGTGTGTCCTCTTAGGGGAACCAGTGCTGACTTTCCCTGTTGGTCAGTTGGTTGAGGTGAATTGATGAACCTGACCAACCAGGGAAACTCCTTGCCTGATGCTTTCTTCTGGTTCGGAGTCAATGTCTGTAGCTTGTTGGCCACCAGACACATCACATGGCAGGTGCCTGCCTTCATCGGGGCCACAGAACTCACCTCATCCTTGAGACTGGGTGTTTCCCTCTTTTATCCCTTCGTCTAAAGATGGACGGCTTCCCTCTGAATTTGCTCCACCTATAAACCCAGTCCTGTGGCTCTTCTGCGTGAATGGCTGTAGAAGAAACGAGCTTTCTCAGGGTTTCATAATTCTGTGTGGTCCTCCATGCCCTAGGATGGACTTCATCATGAATTAAATGCTGGTTATTCAAATGTCTCATTTTCAGTTTTTAGAAATGCTAATATCCAAGCACAGTTTCATTGCGCCCTTAGTGCTGCCTGAATAGAATCCAGACCCAAAGATGTGTCCCCATTAGCAAGGGTGACATTCTATAGTGAAAGAAATGGATTTTCTACAAATGATACAGAGAACCATCCGTTACCTCCTGCTACTCCTAGTGAAATCTGCTGTAGCCCAGTCAGATGAGCTGGCTGAGCACAGTTAACTACAGTCTGTGACTCTGGGTGGGATCCTGAACACAAATGTATAAATACCCTGTCCCAGTCATTGCTTTGCACTTTGGGTACTGGAGAGAGGGTGTCTGGGTGAGGGAAATGAAACGCCTTGTCCCTTTGTCTTCCTCACTAAGCCTTGTCCTTTCCCGATGCCCTTTCAGTGTTCCTTTGTTTGATCTTCAATTACATTCATTCTCCTACTGATCCCATATATTTTTACATAGTATTATATTTATGCTGAATGTTTCATCTCTGTTTTGGGTCTATATATTCTTTGGGAAATACCTACCCTTGTGTCTTTGAGAATATTGAGTCTATATATCTTAATTTCTTGATCTATTAATCTTTCAATAGATTATAGGTTCTGTGTTCTTTAGAATATGGTGCCCTTTAGGAACTTTCTTGAATCCTTAGGTTCTTGTAGTAACTTTTCTTCCTGAGTGTGTATATTCAGTGAGATTCTAGATTAAAAATGTTTCAGTTTGCTGACTTAGGTATATCTACCTGGGTTGAATGCCATTTTGTACTGTACTTGGAAGTCCTCCGAGGCTGGGATGTCCCAGGTGGTACTACTTCAAGTTTCCCCAGAGGAGGCAAACAACTAAATGCTAGCAGGTTAGAGTTAGATGCTCTCTAATTTCTTTTCCTGAAAGACTTTGTCACCAATAGTAATATGAATGTCCCAGACAAGTAGGGGACAGTGCTTATCATGGACAACATTGTTCTTCTGTGTGCAGCTAAGGCTTGTCTGGGAGAGAGTTCTGAAACCATCCCAGTCCCAGTCCCACAACTAGGAATGCTTGCATTTGTCCCCAGACGATGAGCCATAGACATTTTTCTGAGCCAGAGACATTTTTCTGGCCCAGAGAAAAAGCTGTTGGTCGTACCTGCTGCGCATTAGCGCCTTACCAATTTATTCTTAATGATGGTTTTCTGAGGTCCTGAGGAATGACTATGATAAAAGAAAAATGAACAGTACCAGGACTTTTTCATAAAGAACATGCTGTTTGTCAGTCAGTAGAGTGAAGGGTTTGCATCTCCTGGCAGCTCTGCTGAGCACAAGCCTGTGTGAATCAGGGACATCATTAGTCTCTGGAGAACGAAGAATCATGCATCTTACTTACTTGGATAGTAAAGCTGCTGAGAATTAAACCAGTGGATTGAGAGAGGCTACTTGATCCCCAGGGCTGAAGCCATTGTGAGTCTGGGGTGCTGTGATTCGTCTTACAGAAGGAGGCATATCAAGTCATCCTGGACAGTTTTGTTGAAGAAAAGTTCCAGTTGTTCATGAGTCCATGGGAACAGATTTCTGAGCTTGTAATAGACTCTTGCTGTATATTCTGAAATTTTCCTCACGTCTTAGCATAGATATAAGCCTGTTGGAGTCTTCCTCAATACTGGGCTTTGTAACATAGTCTGGACATGTGGTAGCTCTGTTCAGTGGACACCTGATGGCTCCTAGCAAGGTGCTTCAGTTGCACCAGCTTTGCTGACAGCTCCTTGTTACTTGATGTGGATGGGGCAGGTTTAGACTTTCACTCCAGCTACCCACCTTTGTCTCATTTGTCTACTGTTCCTGGGTCCTACTGCTGGTACCCGGTCATCTTGATGAAGTTAATTCTCTCCTGGATAGAGTGAAGAAAACCGTAGAGTCAAAATTAATTGGAAAGTTGCAATATCCATGCTTGCACTCTGAAACTTGTGTTAGTGAAGATGAGAGCCCCTGTGTCTCTGTCCAGAGCTGAGATGAAATGCTGCTGGTCTTCCATCAGAAAGATGGGGGAGCAGAAAGCTCATTCCCAATTCCTGTATTTCATCACTAACTCATATCTCTAGGAGAATCTCTGGAAACACTCATACCTGGATGGCTGACTTTATTTTGCTGAAGGAAAATGATCTGTCAATTATAGTGGCAAAAATCCAGGTTTAGAAAACACTCAACAGATTGTGTGATACTACATTGGCATAATACAACTGAGCATCTAGAGATTCATGTGCTCAGCATACATGGGTCTGTTTGGAGCAGTGAAGTGTTAGCTGCTTTCCTAGATAATCCCACCATCGAAAGGTGGGACCTCAGGATGTACACTGTGAATTTTCTGGCACCAGCCATTTGGTGGTGATCATCCAACCCTTGGATGAATCGCCCAAGGTGTGGCTATTTCACAGGACATCACAGGTCTTTTAACTTGTCATGTGACTTAGTAGTTTATCCTTCAAGGCCATTGTAGACTGAGGAGGTCCTTATTGGGATCTCAACTATTCCTACAAAGACAAGTTAGCACCAGTAATAATATACATTTTTTCTTGTCATTTTGATGTAGCTGCTCTACCTTTCCTGCTATTTATTATTTAAGCTATCTTTGGGACTTTTCTCCTGTCTCACTATGGTCTTCCACCAACAGGATATGAAGAATTTAGTTCTGATAATGTCCATGAGGAAGTGTTTGGTTGTTACAGTCTTATCATGGCCATAAGGATGTTTCTTAGAATTCTTCCTTGATCAGAGATGTAAACACCACTGCCCTTCCCCTGAACTTGAATGAATATATTGTAGATGAGATGAGAATGAATCCTTTGGGAAAGGCAGTTCCTCTGAGGTAACCAAATTCCTTTTATAGTGGACAGGAATCCTCCTGTGAAATGAGAAGGAGGGGATGTCATTTCTCCCTAAATCTGATGACATTTGTGTGGAATCTGAGGACAAGTATGCAGGGCCTTTTATCAGTTGAGTTTCCTCTTTAGCCACCTTTACTAACTGTGCTATGTTGCCTGATCTAGGAGGAGACTGGAGGCAACTGGCCTGAGAAGGAGATCTTAGAGAAGTTACAGGGATATGAGCTCATCTTGCAGTATGCTTGTTCCTTTGGGGTCAACTAGAGTAAAGATGATTTCCTTGCTGTGCCTCATTAGCTGGGATCAAGTAATTAACCCGTACCGTGTGACCAGAACATATACTTCACCGTCAAGATCCTGCCTTTCAAAAGGTGGTGGTCTCACCTCCCTCAGTGTCCTCAAGCTGGAGGCCTGAGTGACCACCACTGGAAGTAGTAGAGAAAAAGGAGAGGGGTGTGCCTGAAGTGTTCTTGCTGGTGTATTTCCTAAGAGGTATCCAGTGTGCTGGGACATCCCAGCAAAAGCCACTTTTGCATTGATGTTCCTATGCTGCATTTGAGGGGGAAAGGGATCCCTGGAAATCAAAGAAGACTGGAACATCCAGATCAAAGACCAGTCAGTGGGTACGCCTGGTCCCTCCGGTGCACCCACTCCCATTTGCCCCAAGTTTTGTAGGCTTCAACACCAGCCACACAGATGGAGTGAGAAGTGGCTCACAGTTAGAGTGATAAATGTCAGGTCTAGCTGAGAGATGCTTCCAGGTTTCAGACAGGCAGGGGAGATTAAAATTAGTCTTACTCTTTCCTGTGATTCCAAGTTAATGTTATGTCTCCTTTTACTTCCTTTTAACTTTATCTCTATCATTTTTCTTCCTCCTGATTCTCTACCCCCATCATTCATGTCAGTGAATGAATAGTTAACGGTCCTCATTTTTTAAATAGAAAGTGAAACCTGAATGTCTTAGTTTGGATCTTTCAACTCTGAATAGACTATGGACTTGGGCCAGATACTTTATTTGGAAGTTTCCCAGGTAGCACACAGGTCATAGAGGTGAATATGAGACTAGAAGGGGTAACAGCCAGTAACAGGCACAGAACTGAGCTGTCACCTCGCCCTGGGTACGGCTCACTCCTAATTGGACCCTGTGAAGAACCATGTAGAATGTATCACAGGATGTCCTCCCTGGAAGGCAGCAGTCCAAGGATTCTCCCGCCAACTCCATCTACCTCACTGGTTGAGATATTTCCTTCCTGCATGGCTAACAAGGACCTTGTGCCTGTGCTGAGCTCTCTTGAGCTTTCTTGGGAGAAAGCTTTAGGACAGAACCTGACACACATCACAAGGTCGCCAGGTGAAATGTGGCAACAGGTGTGGTGCTGTCCTTCACAGATGCGCTGAGAACAAGGTCTAGAGGATGTGTTATGGAGCACCCCTACCTCTGCTACACACCCCACCTATTCTAGAAGAATGCCAACCCTCCTGGGTTCTCCTTTCAGTAGAAAAGGGACACATAGGTCCATACTAGCAAGTCAATACATATACCATAGCTGTAGTCTCCAGTACTCATCTTGGGATGGCATCTGTTCCTCTCCTGAGAAGAGGTTCTTCATAGACCTCTAGTCCCATTCCCTTGCTACCATCTCTGTCTCTCAGTAACATCAGGCAGAATCAAATACCTTAGAATGCTGACAAATGAGACGTATTTGCTTACCCTGATTTATATGAGGGCTTTTGCTTTGTCTTTTCAAATACTTTTTTCCATCCAGGAATGAAAAATCATGTTGGTATATTATCTAAAATTCAATAGGCGTTGGCCAAGAAAAAATATTCTTGAAGAAATCTACAATATCTCATTCCTGCCTTGCAGTGGAATGGATCTTGAGGTTTTAGTTTCCATTCCTGTGTGAATGTTTCAACGTATCAGTGAGTCATGTCTAATGTTAAACACTCATGTGGGCATCCTCTTCCAGGAATACACTTTGCTATGTTCCTGTTCACTTAGGATTAGTTTATTATATAAAGAATATCACCTTTCAGTTTTTAGGTGAATTTCATGCACATTCCTTGAGCTTCTCAAACCTGTCACTCACTTGAACATGAGCAAGCGATGCTCGTCTGCAGAGGAGTTTATTCCACATTGTGAAGTTGTATCCTCTCCTGTAGCCCCATGGATTCTGGTGAAGCCTGGCCTGGGAAGTGCTGCCTTCCCACTGAACCTTCGGGACTGAGTCAGAAGGCCGCGTGAAATGGGTTTGCCTGCATTGCCTATGATGTCTAACCCGAGGGAAGGGTTGGACTGGTGACTGGCCTGACAGACAGAGGTAAAAAGGCTTCCCCAGCTGCCGGAGGGGTCTGACTTTGGTGTGTCATTCTCATCCCGTCCACCCTGCTGGATGGACTCAAGCATTTGTGTGACTGGTATCCTCATTCTTTATGTATCAGAAAGATTCTGTGCATTCATGAGCATTTGTGAAGCTCTGGGTGAAGCCATTAACCGTGTGCATGTTCTGGAAGGGAGTTCAGTTCTGATTTATTCCTGGTCATATTCACTGGATGTTGATCACATGGCAGCATGTATGACAGGCCTGGGCCACTCAGATCTTTCCCCTGAGCTCTCAGCTGGCTCTTTCATCATGTGAACTTGATCCCATGACAGAGCACTGTCTTCATTGGTATGGAGTCCATATCTTAATGTGGTGGTGACTTCTCGTGACATCTTCCTTGATCTGTGGTTTCATTTTGCACAGGTTTTGGTTACTGTATCTGAAAATGTATTTTAGGGGAGGAGATCAACCCTGAACATGTATCAGATCTCCATCCTGTTGAAGGATGGTCCACCTGGGTTTGATGTAAATCTGTTTGTAAGCTGATGGAATGCTGTTAGAACTTGAATGTCAGATGTGCTTTCTGGAAAGGGCACATAGGAAGTAAAGGATGCAGGAAAGCAGGAAGTTTGCACCCAGATGTCTTTGAAATTTCTTTCGATGCCTTAGGCACTACTAGAACGTTGTTGTCCCAGACAGAATGAGGACAGAGCTCATGATAGTCAGCAGTACTTTCTGCTCTGGGTTGCTGGATTCTGTCTGAAGAAATGGAACAGAATTCTGTAACTGTTCCAGTCACCACAATGTTACCTTCCCTGGACTTCACTGTATCCTATGAGAGAAAAAAGTGACTGCAGTGTATTTTCTGGGTTGAGATGTCTGCTATGCTTGTACCTTCCTTTCCAGACTTAACCCTTTACTGGTTGTGCTGGGTGACATTTTTCTGGGGAATGTGTTTCAGAAGTCCTGGAGGATGGGCACCATGGGAGAAAATCCAGAACTTTGAGAATGTGTGTCAGACAGACGTGCTGTTTATAGGTGCATGATGACCGGAGTTCCTTTTCTTGGGGCCAGCTCTGAGCAGAATTGCTCCCATCACATCTTAGCTTCTCTGGCAGTAAAGTTTGAGGAGCTCCCAGTAGACCTGAGGGTCCACTTGATTCTCAGTATGCTGGACTCGTGTTGACCTCACTACTGAGTCCGGGCTATACATGGAGCAGGGGTATAATCCTCTCAGCCTGGACTGAGTTCCCCTGGGAAAGAGTGATTCCCACCATGAAAATATCTGGATTTGAATTCGAGTCCTCCTGTCTGTTCTGAATTTTCTTCCCCCCTGAGAGTGTAGAACTTAACAGCGTTTCAGTGTTTTCATGGTGGGCAGCGATAATAGTCTCATCGAGTTAAGCTTGTATCAGTGCTGCCAGCTGAGTCTAAGTGTTTTTTTTCTTTATTTTGCTGACATTTCTTTTACCATCTCAAAATTAAGTGTCCAAGGATGGATGTTAGAAGTCTAGGTTTGCTCAGGCTGTTTTATCGTCACTACTGGTCCCTTGTTTTGATTCCTATTGCTGATGACTGGTCATCATGATGTTTAGACCAGTGCCCTGTCAGAATGGACATTGAATTCTTCCTTAGCATAGGCTGAAGGATATCCTTGAGTCAAAATTAGCTGAAGTATGAACACACCTATCTTAAATCTCTGGCAGTAGAAGATAGGACTTCTGTTTCTCTGTGCAAAGCTGGCATTGGCATGGAGACGCCAAGTGTCTTCAGAGGAAGATAAGACAGTACGGTGCTCATTTCTGGTCCCTCAAGTCATCATGAACCCACATCTCTAGGAGTCGTCTCCTGAAACGCTTATGCTGGACACCTGAGGATCTGGTACCCGACATACAAGTCATTACCACAGAAACACTCAGGAAAAATAGAAAAATGACTTTATCGTTTAAAGGTGAAAAAATCTCTAATTGATGAGAGTAGTTTTGAGACATCTCTCCAAAACGCACAGTCCTGATCTTCACAATCAAGAGTTCAGCGTAGGGGGAGCCTCTTCCTGTTAACTATTGAGATGACAGCACTGCTCTTACTGTTTTCCCAGCAGTGAGCATCTGGGGACCCTGTGGCCAGGAAGAGTGGGTCTGTTGGAAGAGTAAAATGATACCATTTGTGCTGGACACACCCCTGGATCCATCCACTGGACCTTAGGATTATAACCCTTTACATTTCTTGGGATGTGACATCAGATAGAGGTCTCATGCTAGTGTTGAATATGACATGTCATGTCACTGGGTGTGTCCCACACCGCCATACTGAAGACGGATGCTGGCTCCTAGCAGGTGGGACACTGGGGAGAGATGTGACCTGGGATGCTGGGATCATCTTCCATGGGAGGGTAGAATTGCATAAGTTGATCTGTCCCAGAAAATGGAGACCTAACAAGGTCCAGTGATCCACAGCCATGTTTGCTGGCCATCCTGAGGTGGAGAATCCCATGGTGAATTCCAAATAGGGGCAGCAGCCCCTCCAGGCACCAGAATGCGTAGGCATCGCAGGGTCACAGGCATCAGAAATGCCAGGACCCACAGGGCAAGTGCTTGCCACTGTTCTGTTCTTCCTCCTCTGAAACAGTCTGGCCATGGCTTCTGACCGCTGCCCAATTCTGTGATACTGCTTCTTCGTTGAATGTAATAGGACTTGGTTTACTTGTCTATCAGGGTCAAGGTTGAGAGTTTCTCCAGGTATACAGCCTGGGTGTGTACGCTTGATGAGCACATCTTTCAATACTATCAGCAGAGCCAAAGGGAGCCCACAGGGGCTGCATCATCCTTACGGCTGAAAAGACTTCTTTGGATATACAGTGGTTCAGTTAGTGGGGTCACTTCTAAACTGCTCTGTCTGCTTCAATTTCCTGTGACATGTGGCCTCTGAAGTCACCACCTTGTGTAGGCCACATCTTTCCTCAGCTGGTTTCCCTTTGAGGGCAGAAAGCGTGTTTTTTACCCCTATTGCTGGCTTGAGTAAAGATAATATTAGCAGTGGGCAGGATTCTAAGATGGCCCCAGGATCCCTGCACCCTAGGGGTAAACTTTAGTAATTTAAGTCTTTGAGTTTAAACTTCAAATATAGAAGCACAAATGCCTTCAATGAACGCTGTTTATACCGTTTCAATACTATAGGTTTGGAGGCTAAGAAGACATGTTTCTCATTTTATGACAGTTTTCTTCTTGATCAGGGCTGCCAGGGGAAGAATATTTATGAATCCTATTTTTTTGAAGTATAAAAGCAACCTCAGTGAGTTAGTATGGATTCCCCTGAACATGGAGTCTGAAATAAGATATTTGGATGGGAACTGTGTTTATCTCCTATTACTGCTTTGACAAATCACTAAGTTTCCACTTAAGTCAAAATCTGATCTGTCAGTTTTGGAGATTAGAGTTTGAAACGGGTGTCACTTGGATAAAATCAGGTTTACTGGGCTGTGTTCCGTTTTGGTTTTCTAGAAGACGCTTTCTTTCCTTGTCTTTTCTACTTTCTAACGCTTCCTGCTTTTCATGTCGTGGGCCCCGTCTTTGATCTTCAGAGTCAGTACTTTTTTCTTCAGAGTTTTTTATCTTGAAACTGCTCTTGCCTCCACTTCTGAATCCCCTCTTCTACTCCATCCTTTAATCACCCTTGTGATTACATGGTGCCCATGGGCAACATCCAGGGTAATCTCTTTCAAGTCATCTGATTAGCAGCCTTAATACATCTGTGCCTGAGTTCTCCCTTGTCATATAACAAGATTTGGACGTGAACTTCTTCAGTCTACTTAACTGTCTATTTTGTTCAGTACCTTATTTGAAGCGATCCCAGAGAGCCCAGGGAAGGGAGGAGCAGATCAGAGACGGCGTGCTATGAGCAGCCACTGGATTGGGTATGACTGAGCTGGTCACCTCGACTCAGTCCCACAGGGGATCCTCTGAGGAACCATAATGCACCTCAGAATTGACTCAACCGAGGGACAAGAGTCCAGTCATTTATGGACCACCCCTGTCTGCCACCTTGTTTGTAGTTACCTCCTAAGGTATCCTTTCCCTGTGCAACTGAGATGGGACTGTATGTACAAGGGGCCTGAGAAGGCAAGGTGTTGCAGGGCGCAGCCTGTGTGTCCTAGGTTTCCCTTTGAGCAGGTTCAGTGCCTACTGAAGCAAGGTGTTCCCTCTCCAACCTCTTAGGAGAGGGGAAAAGCCTCCATCTTTTACAGGGAAGAATTTTACAGGGTCCCTAGATCCCATCCAGACTTACCCCTACCTCTGTCTTCTACAAAGCCTGCCTGTATACCTTGGCTGCCAAAAATTAACAATAATTAACTTCACTGTGTTCAAACCATGATTTCTCTTTAAAACTCATTCTCTTCTAACCTCCCTCCCCCACACACACAATGGATGAGAATGGGCTGTTTCAAGATGTATAATTAGGTATATTTCATATGGTATATTTTCCTTCCTGCCGTCTGGGTTACTCAGGTCTTCTCCCAAGGCCTGAACACCTTGAGATCTCATATCTCTGGCACCTCACACTGTTTTAAGATCATGTTCCAATGATGAATTCATAGGTCATGGACTCATATCTTACTGTGCTTGTACCTTCAAGTGCGGCCCTCCTTAGTCTGTGGGCTCATTTTGCATGGGTTTTGGTTACTCTTCCCAAAAATATAGGTGGGGGGAATGGATCATCTCACAACATGTGTCAGATCTCAGTCCTGTTGCAGAATGGGCTGCTGAGTTGCTGTGAATCTATTTGCTAAGCTGATGGGTGCTTGTAGACCATAAGGTATAGGGGGTACCTGCTGGACAGTGCATGCAGGAATGCAGGTTGACTACAGGAAGGCTTCAGCTGGGTGCTCCTTAACTTTACGGCTTCTGACACCGCCAGCAACAAGGCTGACCCAGAAAAGCCGAGGGGACAGTGCTCATGGTGGGTCCGTAGCAGCACTTTCTGCTTTGGCCAGCCAGGGGCCAGTCTGGAAACGTGGAGCAGAATTCTGTGACTGTTCCAGTCACCGCGGTATCGTTGAAGCTTGGGCTTCAGTGTATCTTGTGAAGTGAAAATGTGAGTCTAGTGTATTTTCTTGGTTGGGATTTGTCCTAGGCTTGTCTTCCCAGACTTATCCCTTCTCTGATTGTGTTTGGTGACATGTTTCAGGAAACACGTTTCTGAGTTCCTAGAGGATGGGTGCCACAGGAAAAATTTTCAGACCATGTCAGACAGACGTGCATTGCTGATGTGTGGTGACAGGGTTCCACTTCTCTGGGCCGCCCTGCTGACCCATGAGCTACTGTGAAGCAGGGACCTCACAGGCCAGCTCTGGGCAGAAGCGCTTTCGTCTCGTCTTGGCTTCTCTGACAGAAGTTTGAGGAACACTTAGTGGATCTGAGAGTCTACAGTGATGAGCCAGTCTACTTGTCCAGACTACTACGCCTGGATTTTTTTTTTTTCCCCTAGCATGGACAGGGTTGCCCTGGGAGAGTGATTACCATCAGGAAAATAAATGTCTGGATTTGAAATTGGGTCCCCATGTCTAATCTGACTTTCTCTTCCACCTGACAGTATAGACTTAATAGGATGTCTCAGCTGGCTGTATTCCTATCAGTGCTGTCAGCTGGTTCCTAGAGATATTTTTGTCATTTATTTTTCTGACCTTAACTTCTTGTATCTCAAAAGTAAATGCTCAAGAATGGGGGCTATGAAGTCTAGATTTACTCCAGCTATTTCATCTTCATTATTACTGGTCCCTGGTTCTTGGATTATGTTGTTGGTGACTGGCTACCAGTGCACTGTCAGGAGGAAAATTGAATTCTTCCTTAGCAAAGGCTGAAAGAAGTCTTCAAATAAGAATTAACTGCCAGCCCTATATTGTTTTCTGAAATTTCTGTCGGAGGACAGGAGCCCCGTTCCTCTTTGCAAAGCTGGCAGGGGCACAGAGGCTGCATCTGTCTTCAGCAAGAAAAAAAAAAGCAGGGGCTCATTTCCAGTCCCTCAAGTCATTATGAACCCACTTCCCTAAGAATGGTCTCCTGAAATGCTTATTATGAGTGACTGCTGCTCTTTCCTGACACAGATTTTTTAATTACCTTGGCAAATACCCAGAAAAGTGACTGCATCTTTTACTGACGAAAAATTGCTAATAAAAGCAGTTCAGAGGCATCTCTTCAAAACACACGATTCTTTTAAAATTATATTTAACCCCAAAACATTATTTCAACATATAATCAATGAGATATCTGAATAGTTTTACTACTTTCTTTCCAATCTGGATGTCTTTTGCTTCATTTTTCTTGCTTTATTGCACTGGCTAGAGACCCTGGAACTTCCTTGCTTTTTCCCCTCATCTGAAGAGGAAAGCATTCATACTCCTAAGTATAATGTGAACTCTGTGTTTTCCATTTGATGCCTTTTATCAGATTAGAGAAATTTTCTTTCCTTTTGAGCCTGACAGTTTTAAAAATCAAGAATGGGTGCTGAATTTTGAATGCTTTTTCTGCATGTACTGAAATGATCATGAAGTTTTTCTTCTTTAGTACTACGATGAATTACGTTGATTTTTGATTGCAACACACAATTCTGATCATCACAATCGGGGAGGAGTTCAGTGTAGGGAATCTCTTCCTGTTAGATGATGGCAGCACTGTCTTTATTGTTTTCCCAAATACTGAGCATCTGAGGACCGCATGCCTAGGAGGAATGCTTCTGTTGAAACAATAAGATGATATCCTGGACCCACCTGTTGGATGTCAGGATTTTAACCCTTTACATTTCCGGGGATGTGCCATCAGATGGAGGTCTCCTCTAGTGTTGAATATGATATATCATGTCTCTGGGTATTTCCCAAACCACCAACTCAAAGCAGTATCTTTCAGGAGGTGAGAGTTTCCTCTCTTCCATTCATCAGGTAGTTGTAAAGAGACCCATTTCCACCTCAGCTGCTCCTACAAGGAGCAGTTTGCAGTGTGCTCAATCATACTATCCCCATTGTTTTGATTTAGCTGCCCTTCCTCACCTCTGTCAGCTCTTTATTTTTAGATCTTTTCCATTCTGTATTATAAAAGGGACCTTGGGGATGTTCCTCCTGTCTTAATAGGGGCCTTTACTGAATAGGTTCTGAGGAATTTTATGCCTTTAAGTCTTGGTGGTTTGCTGAAAGTTGTTGGGTGTTTCTAGAATTCTCCCTTAGCCATAAGTATTTTTTTTTCATTTTTTAGTTTTATTAGGTAAAAGTGTTACAATTTGACCGCACATATACAGTATATTGCATGTAAATACATATATACAATATACTGTACATATTTTTAAAAAATTTACCTATATGTACTTTTTATTGTTTCTAAGAACATTTAGTGCTTTAGCTTTTTAAACTTATATAGTTATCAAAGGAATAAAGCCAACCACAAAATAAGAATTAATTTAAAAAGATACATACACCACACTCTCAATAGCAACATTCCTTATAATTGCCAAGATATGGAAGCTCTTAAGTGCACACCAACAGATGAATGGATAAAGAAGATGCAGCATACGCATGTAATGGAATACAGCTCACCCATAAGAAGGGTATTTTGCCACTTGCAGCCATGCATTCACTTTTTTTCTTTTAAGTTCAAAAACCAGAATTTTATAACTAGCATAAACATTTCTATTGCATCAAAACCAACAAAATACCCAGAAATAAACTTAACCAAGGAAGTCACATATACTCCCCAAACTGTAAAACATTGATGAAGGAAACTGAAGATGATACAAAGAAATGGAAAGATATCTTGTGCTCTGGGATTGGAAGAATCAACATTATCAAAATGGCCACACTACCCAAAGTAATCCACAGATCCATCCTAACCCCCATCAAAATACTCGCGACATTCCTCACAGAACTAGAACAATTCCAAAATTTA